GTTTCTTAAGGGGTGTGTCAAGTCAATAGTGAACAACTATTGTTAGACAGAGGGAGTATTCAATATTTAATTAATTAAATATTTTAATTTAATACCGGGGTTAAATAGTAATCCAAATTTACACTTTGGAGCTTCCCACTTTTAATATAATATGACATGATATGTCATATGATATGATACACCAGTCAAGTTATGTGGTGACGGTATATAAGATTATAGAAACTTGAATTGGAAAAGAAAAATTTTAAGGATTATAAATATGTAAATTATTCTTTTAACAATATAAAAACATTTATGATAATCAAAAAAAATCAGATTTGGTCATTAGACATTCTTTATAGATCACATAAATTTCGATCGCTATATTCCAGATCGAGTAGCTAAAGATCTAGCTCAAGGTATCAACAATGGATAAATTGCTGGTTTCTTCACATTGCCTTCAAATCCAGTCTCCTCTCAAGGTACTGACTACAACCATCCCCTGTCTTAGTCCTATTGATGTGAGTGGAGTTAGTCTTATCTCTTTTCAATTAATTGGTGTTGAGAATTATATCATGTGGAATCGATCTATTACACTAGCTCTGTTAGGGAGGAATAAGATAGGATTGATTGATGGATCTTGTAGGAAAGAAGTTTATGGTGAAGAACTGTGGGGGCAATGGGAGATGGTAAATGCCGTTGTATTGTCCTGATTAATGAATTAAGTATCTGAAAGCCTTCTTAGTGGTGTTGCCTTTGCATTGAATGCTTTGCAAGTTTGGAATGACTAGAAAAAGAGATTTGATAGGGTAGATGGTTTTAGAACATATAGCCTTCACAAAACATTGTAACACTGCAACAAGGTACTAATTCAATTTTTGAGTATTACACAAGTCTTAATTCTCTGTGGGATGAGTCTGAACTTCTAGTTCTTGCTTCTTGTTGCAACTGTGATAAGTCAAAAGGATTTGTAGCTCACATGAATAGGCAGAAGTTGTATCAATTTTTGATGGGTTTAAATGAGTCATATCAACAGGACAGGAATTAAATGATGATGCTAAATCCTTTACCTACTATCAATCATGCCTATGCTATGATAGTAGGAGATGAGAGCCAAAAGGCAGTGATATCTCACACCAACATCATAGGAATGAACACTGTTGGTATTGATTTTGTGGCTATGTACTCTAAATCTGGTTCTACCTTAGGTGTGAGTCAGAGATTCAAAAGGAACTCAATTTTAGTTTGTGACTTTTGTAAGTGTAAAGGTCATAACAAGGAGTACTGCTACAAGCTAAGGTTGTAGGGTATCCACTTGACTTCAAGTTAAAAAGAAAGGTACAAGGTACATCATCAGATTTCTGCTCTGGCCAGGCTCACTTCTCCTATGGTATGAATACTAATGTGCAGGTTCTAGGGTGGGGAAGGAAATTTGATATCCTTTTGACCTCTATGAATCGAATCTCTTTTTTTCTTCTAGTAGCTTCTTTGAATTGTGTACCATTCATGCTCAGATGTAATTAGCTTTTAATTAACACTATGAGATTTGTGTGAAATATATATTAAAAAAATTACATTGATGAAATATTAAACTTATTTGATGAGTATTGCAAGTGGATTAAATCTCCAAATGCCACCTTCTAAAAGCTCTTTTATCTTGACTTTCAAAATATATTTTCTTTTAACTTCAATAAATTATTATTGAAACGTTATTCCAAATAAATCTTGTCTCATATATAGTTTGCATGAGAATCCATGGTACGTACATCCTATAGTCATTTTAATCATCTATCTCTCTTGGCAGAAATTGCTTAAAAGATACCTTAGGGTGGCCAATGATTTTGTACTAAACAATCTACTTTGTACTCAACTAGATGGACTTTGAGTGAACAGGTCATAAAAGAAACTTGAACAGTGTGTGCAAAATTATTTGATTGCACTTTAGTTACACATAATTGCACTTTTAACCTATACCATTACATGCAAAAATAATTAAACCTCAATCATACATAACCAAAATGTAAGCAAAAATTGAAACTTCAATCATGTGTGACTGAAGTCCAAGCACAAACAATTGCACTTCAAACATATGTATATGAAGTGCATGCAAAAAAAAACTTCAACTATATGTACTTGAAGATTAGCCATGTATATGACCTACCAACTTCAAATACAATTTTTAACATACCAACTTCAGTCACGTAGATCAGAAGTTGTGTCAAAAGTGAGAAATTTGCAATAACAAATATTTAGCAATAACTTAAAACCGCAATTTCAAAATTGGATATTTTTGGTGTTTATCAAATTCCTCAAAATTTTGAAATTCAATTTTAAGTTGAATTTCAGAATTTCAAGGCCAAACATATGTTCTGGAGTTCAATTCCAAAAAAAATTCATGGCCAAACGCTTCTTATATTCCGAACTTGAATTTTAGTTTCCTGAATTTTAACTTTTTCATTGCGAACTTCAGCAATGTGAAAGTCGAAGACTTCAGAACATTGTGTCTAAATTTAAAAAAAAAAAAATCAATTCAACTTTCAATTTTGGTGTCTGAAATTCAAGTGTGTTTCATGAAGTTCAATATGAGGTTTGAAAACCTTCGGAACTTCAATTTGAGTGTTCTAAAATTTAAGCTTATGTCACTAAGCTGAATATGAATTCGGAAACTTATGTTTAAAGTAGAGTAAAAAAATTCTACTCAAACTCGATCCAAACGTCAACTTTAGTAAAAACTAAATTTTGTAAAAACAATGATTGTAATAGTTTAACTCTTTGGCTCACTTTGATAGTTTGGTGCAATAGATAACATGGTTGGATCAACTATAATTAATTAGGCCATTAAAGTATTAAAAACTCTCAAAATTTTATCTTTTTTATACAACTAGTCATTTAATTTGTATGTGTTTATAGTTATAACACGGTATGAAAGAGATAATATTTTATTATATAACTTGAGAAACATTCTTTCAAGTTAATACAATGTCACTTATTTATTGCAATACAATACTTTGATTTTTATTCTCAAAAATATTATTAGTAAATAATAATATTTAAGTAGTTCAATTTAAAATTCTAAAATATTAGACAAAATTCTACTTTCATTTATATAACTTATAAATTTGAAAAGATAACAAAGAACAATATTATTTGACAACTTGAAATAACAATTGTAATAAAAAAAATACATAAATTAATATGATAAGTCTATATTTTTTAGAAGTAGATACAAAATATTCCTTGAATAAAAATTACAATTCAAATATGTTATTGTAATGAAAAGGTAGGAAAGATAGACTCCCTAACTAGAAAATGTAAAACTCAAACATGAAATTTTATAGAAAAAAAATAAAAATTAATAAATTAGTATTTATCTACCACAATTTGACCATTAAGAATGAGCTTGATCAATCTCAATTTTGAGTCCAGACAGACTTTCCTCAAATGGTCGGGTTGTAGTGAACAATAATGTGTTTGACTCACATTCCTAATTATTAAAAATTTAGATTATGTATCATTTAAACAAAAGTAGAACTATTTAAGATATGCACTACTAGTCCATTTCAGTCCAAGTAACTTTTGATTCGCTTATTTATTAACTCAACTGATTTTGATCCCCAAAATTCAGTTCAACTCAATTATTTGTCACCTATAGTTATGATGCTTTAATTTACTGGTGGTATAGTATTCAACTGATAAAGTATTAACAACAATCAATAAAAAATTTCTCTTTCCTAATTTTTATGTTCGTATTATGGTTTTGTCTTTCAAACGGTAAAATAAATTGTTTCTCCGAGTCATCCAAGAGAAAAATAATTAAGCAAAGCCCTCATATGTGAACATTATTTCAATCCCGACTAATTCAAGCCCTAATAAAAGTCGTGTGGTTGATTCTGAGGTTAAAACTAGGTTATTGACACACAATAGAGATGTTAATGGTTATTTTTAAGACTTCAAATTGTGCAATCATCAATTCTTAACTAGAATATACTTTTTATTTCTCTGAAACAAAATTATACAAGGTTGTTTTGTTATCAGAAATTATCACAGATGGAAACAACGTCTTTTGAAGACTTCTCAATGTTTGTTTTTTTTACTATAAAATTGAAGTTGACCTGCATTTGAAATAAAAAAGATAGGCCGAATATATTGATTTTTCTTAAAATGTGCATGCAAATCTTAACTTTATGGTATTTCTTGTTTTGGAAATTTCTGTTTTGTTCTATGCTCTATTTCACCTTTAATCGTTTGGTTGGGAACAAATTATCATGAATTTAGCTATCTAGGTATAACTTACCAAGATGTGTATGTGATAATTTATCTCATCACTATGGTATAAATGATGGATAAATTATTCCAAACATGGCGACCAAAACCAAAATTTTATCCATGAACTATATTTTTTATCTTGGGACTATTTATTTTTATCCCTCACCTCAAATGACCCCATTTTACTTCTGACAACAAACAACTTCTAATTTTCTTGCTCTTCATCTCAAATCAGTGAAAATAAGTTTTATTCCAATTAAAATATTTCAAACAAGTGCCACATATAAGATATTTCACAAAAGAAAATTGAGAGAAATCAGCTTCAAATAATTAATAAAATTATATTTTTATTTAACATGGTTGTAGAATTTGAAGTGGCTAGGAGGGTCCAATTCCCTCTCAACTCTATCGTACAAAAGATACATAATATTTTCAATATTGTTACTTTATTTTCAGCTTTTCTTTGTCGGGGCTTATTTTTAAAAAGTTAGAATAGACTATCTACTTATAGGGTAGAATCTTTATCTTTATATTGTCAAAGCTATGGACTTCTACGATTTCTGATTCCTAAAGACTTCAATTAGATTGGAATATTGCACAAACGGTCATTCTTTCGTACCATTATGATTTATTAAAAATAATTTCTTTGTTTCACCTGTTCTTCTTTCTTCAACCTCATATTTCATAAAATGAATTACAAATAGCAAAAATAAAAAGTCGAACTGATAAACATACATGTCTCAGGAGACAGGAGATATGAAACAGGTTTCAAAATCTTCACCAGTTATTGCATTATCTCCAACAGGGAAGGCCAATGATGATTATTGATGAGCAGAGAAGGATCCACACCTGGTTCAATGGTGGACAAAAAGAGGCCTTTTCCACCCTAAATATTGCTATTGTAATAAAGTTACGACACTAAATAGCCCTTCTCCTAAAACTAAGACAAGCAGATAATTGTCACTTTTCCCTTTTAACAGTTGCCACACAGAGAGAAAGATAATGCTACAACAAGACATTTTTCCAACTATAAAAGACAAACTAGATGTCGTTCACTACAACTTCAACCCGAAATGCAGCTTCAATGATCAGGCTAGTCTGTGTTTTAAGCAAGTACTTCCACATAGAGCTTGACTAGCAGTCAATCATTAAGCAAGGGTTGCTCTTTTGCCTTTTGCATCTCTTGACTGTACATAGACATGGTTGTTGGTAGTTAGCGATATAAGAAAGCAATAGAGATGTAAATCATCAACCACACCAGCAGTAAGTAAAGAACACAGTACCTGTGTAGCTACTGATCGTTTTGAATCCAAAAACTGACTGTAGATATCATATAATCGCTGCTTTTCAGCATCAGAAACAGATGATTTTGCCTTGGATGCAATTGATTTCAGAAGAGCATCAGAGATGACCGGCTTCTTATCAGGCTTCCCCGCATTCTCACTATCTAGAAGATCATGGACAGCCTCAAGCTGTGCATCAGAGAGAAGAGCTTGGAGGTCAGCTCCACTGAATCCTTCTGTCAAACGAGCTACGACATCCAAATCGACATCACTTGCCAGTGGTAACTGCATATCAAGCAAGTAAATCAGTTTACTGTCTTCATTCAACTAAAGGGTATGCTTTAGAGTTAATTAACGGACCATCGTCAAAGCAAAAGCTTTTACTTGTTAGAAACTTATCCCAGAATGTCTTCATCCCTCCCAAAATTACTCATAGGAATACTCATGTTTCCCTTCTACCATTTCTTTAACACTGGTAATGAAAATCATTTAAAAAACACTTCGCTGTTATATTTCGTAAATTCACAAAGATAGGAAGGAAGAGAAAACCCAAGTCTGGTAAAGCCTTTTCACTCTACTTCCAAGGAAGCCTGAGTCGAAGTCAGAACTCAAAAGCCTTTACTTTTAGAAAACAACTTTAACCTAATATTCTTCATCCTTTGCCCTGAGAATACAACAAATGAGATATTTCATTTGCAAGCTCTTAAGTCAAGCCATCCCTTTGTATTTCTAGGTTATTCATAAATTGAATTCAGCCACAATTTCTCTGGCAAATATGAGCAAATCCGACCAAGTCAAGCCCCATTGCCATGTAGCTGAATGTGGAAGAAGCATATAAACCTTGTCACAGTGTAAAGGAACTTAAGGCTACCAGCTTGGGATGTCATGTAGTCGAATTTGACAGTCACCAACTTGCTGAGTTAACTTGAAACTGTAGATAAGCTGATAATTAACAATCCTGTTGCTTGCATTTGCTCTCTTATTCAACCTTAATTGACTGGGATTGATTTTCATGGAAATTAAAAGATAAAACTGAATTATTGTATTGAGTTTGGGTGAGGATAGTATAAAATATTAGATTGCAAAAGTTTAGTTGATATGGCGCCACAGCAGCTTAAAATAATACAAAAGGCAATACCAACCTAGTTAGGGATGGAGACATGGTTGTTTCATATAGCAGTACTAGTTTATATTATCGTCTAATTTGTTTGGAGGAAAGAAGTTCAACCATTATTTTGGAAAGAACTCATACTTTTTTCACCAAGTAAAACAGAGAGGACACAAGTTAGAATGCGGCAGGTGGATAATCAACTTGTATGCAGTGTTTCTTTGCAAAAAAATTTAGAAATAGTCACATCAACATTATTCTAGTTCCTACTGCTTTTCCACGTATCATTTATGTTAAAATAATCAGTCAAAACGATTAATTATTAATTAATTTGAATGAAACAAGGCATACCATGGACCTACTGTTCATGATCCACATATTTAACATCTATTTGCGATTTGATTGTAATTAGTGCCCAGTCAGAATTCAGACTTACTTTTCTTGATAGAACTGAAAGAATCTCCGACCTTTCATGCTGTGAAGGAAAATCACAGAAGAGAAGCCGATCCAGCCTTCCAGGTCGCAAAAGTGCAGCATCAAGCAAATCAGGTCTACTGCTTAAAATGAAGACAAGAAAGGTCAAACTTGATCAGAAAAATTGCATCACTTTGATTCTTCCAAAGAAAAGAAGGCTAAATGAATCCTTGTTCTTCATACGGATCAATTCTTTAGTAAAATACAGATGTATAGCACAATCAGACAACCTCAAAAGCAAGGAGATATGGTATATGGTTGGATGCTTTAATCCATTTGACTGTTAAAGTTCCATTTAAAGGTCACGTAACACTATAGTAATGAATTCAATTCCATCATTCAAACTCACAAGTAATTGATGTACCTTTTAAAATAAATGTCATTAGGTCAAAAGGGGAGAATATCCATGAAACAAAATTACTTTCCAGTAGAGACATTCTCGCAGACATGTCATTAGATGAATGTTATTACATAATAAAGATAATTATAGGAAATTAAAAAAGGATTAAGCCAAAGAGAAAACAGATGTTGATCTACAGAATATTTTAGATGTCTGTTACGCTTGTGCTCCAGCTCACACGTACACATCTATCCAAATATATACATGTGTGTGCACATCACGAATTATGAAGTAAATCACTCAATAAAAACCATGTCATTTCAAAGCCAGCATGATAGTACCTAGAACCAATAACGTCACATGATAAATAGGGATACCAACTTGAAAGACTCTAGCTTGGTGTTTAAAGCATTACACACTTTTGGACCACCTAAGCTTGATATGACCTCTGTTCTTGATAATCTCCTCAACTAAGATTCTTAACTAGATGGACAATAAACAAATAAACCAAGAGCTTTCAATTGTTTCATTCTGGCCTTTTTTGTCCCCTTTTTATAGCACATGTTGCGCAGGAAGTAGTTAACTTCTAGAGAGTACAAGAAAGAAACTTTTTAACCTCATTTTTTTCTATATTTATCTTCCTACTAATATATCAAAGATATAAAACAAGCTGAAAATTCTTTCTACTACACTAGTAACATTGTAAAATGAATGATTAACTCAATTTTAATAGTAGGGCGTGTTTGGTTGCAATTTTTCCATGTTTAGTTGATCAAAATGTTTTGGAAAACAAGCTCCTTAAAAATTAAGAAAATCACTTCCGTAGTGCAAATAGGGAAAACAAATTTCATAATAGGCCCCCCCCCCCCAAACTCTCAACCCTTGACTAACCACCCCTTACCCCACCCCCCAAGTGTTTTCCTAGATTACATATAAACTAGTAAAATTATCTGCGCTTCGCGCGGAAGTTTAATATCACATAATTTATAAAATAATACTTACAATCTATCAGTCATTAAAACTAAAACACTATATCATCTTACATACAAGATTACGTAGTAACGAACATTAATAATGTAAAGGAAAATAATAATTATATCATCTTATCATTTATCCTTCAATCAATCATCTTTAATTTGATTTTATAATTTATCCTTTTGCCTTCAGGAAGTATTACTATTTTGATATTTTTGGGAAATTAGATGAACATCAACATGAGATATTAAATTTTCTAATAAATAAACAATATTTATATGTACTAAAAAATACTTATAACAATAACTTTGCAGAAACATAAACAACAAAGTTCAAAACATGTACTTAACAACAATTAATATCATAAGCATAAACTAATGGTTGTTAAAAAACTATACCAGGATCTATAACAATAGAATGAAACAGAAAGGAAAACATTGAGCCCACTGAATGCACAGTGTTCCCTTAAGGAAATTATTCCCCTCTAGTACCCGAGGTTTAATGGAATAGATCCTTTCAGGATGGAATGATTTTATTCACAAGTATATTGATACAAAAACAATGGTGTCAGTGAGTCATTCAACAGGAGCAAAGTACTTGAATATTTAATTGTGCAGAAGAAGAAGAAGAAGTAGTTCAGAATTTTCGTTGTTTTAAAATGAGAGGAAATCCCTCAATTTATAGACAACAAAGGATAGAGTGAATGAATGCTTATTGTGCCTTATCGGAAATGTCACAACTCTTTGAAAAGTTACAACTCTTCAGAAAGGTAAGAACCTTTCATAAAAGTCACAATTTTTCATAAAAGTCGTAACTCGTCATAAAAGTCGCAACTCTTCATAAAAGTCGCAACTCTTCATAAAAGTCACATCTTTTCATGAAAGGGGAAGACTATTTTTAGAAATAAATAAATTTAAAAGGAAATTCTAGCTTGTGGTGGCGCCACGTAGGCAGGCCTAGGGTTCTCTTTTATATAAATATATGATGCTCTTGGGACATTATTTTTTCGCTTACTTACCAAACACCAGAAAATATAAGTAAGAAAACCACTTATGTCCAAGAAAACATTTTCCTTCACACCAAACACACCCTCAATCTTTGTGCTTATTGTAAGAAAAAAAGGTCCAAACATGCCCTAGTACTATTCAATTGCTCAGTTTTGCCCTCAGTTACACTTTTTGGTCCATTCATACCTTTACCAGAAGCAAACCGTCCCATATTTGTCCTTACCATTAGCGAAGCTCCAGCATGAAATGGAAGGATTCCGCGTGTCCAAATTCATCAAGAAAAAGGTCCAAATTTATCCTTCAACTTTCGACAATGCTTAAATTACCCACAGGTTAAAGCTCCAATAGAGGTCAAGAGAAAAATGAGAGTCTTTCCTAACAAGGGGAATATTAAACCAAAAGTTTAACGGAGGCAAAGTTGCTTTGAGTTGTACACACGTAAATTGACCCTTTTCCCCTTTTTTAATGTGCAGGCTCTACTAGAGTGATGATGAAAAAGGTTCAAAGAAAGGCTTTATTATATAATTCCTCAGTAATGCATGTCTTGGTGTAAATAATTTCATCCTAGCAATTAAGTTTCTTTCTGCGTGATCAGGAAAATTCACTGTATGGTTTGAGACTTCAATAGAAACAAACTTGGAAACTAACTGATGAACTGTCCCATCCTATGCATTTATGTGAGTCTGTTTCAATCTGCATATGCTCAACCAACTAATAGGCCAAGAACGGACAGAACTTGCCAATGGATGAAATACAGGTACCACAATATCCAAAACCTTGAAAGCAATAATGAACAAAGACATCCTGTTAGTAGGCACTAACCTTGTGGCAGCAAATACAAACACACCCGTTAACACTTCAACACCATCCAATTCCGTGAGAAACTGCATCAAATGAACAAGGATGAAAAATATGCAAGGTAAATGAGAATAGAAACAGCAAATGATATGGACAAGAAATAACCTGATTAACAACTCTATCAGTGACACCAGTGTTGTCATGGCCTCTCTTTGGTGCGATAGAATCAAATTCATCAAAAAAAAGAAGGCATGGTGCTGCTGCAGCTGCTTTTGAGAATATATCTCGAACCTAAAACAAAATAATTAGTGTCAACTAGCCAAAATCTCCAAGAGAGCTAGATACTACGACTTAAGGGGTTGACAATTAGACTTGACGAGGAAGATTAGAACTTTTGACAGGGGAAAGGATGATACACATCCTACTTTAGATAGCTATTGGATCTTTGGAACAGATTTAAGGTTTTGACATATCTACTATGTGAAAACTTGAGGATGTGAGTAGGAACCACAAGATTTAACTTTGTCCAGTTTGCACTAATCTAGAACTTAACAAATCAACCTTCTGGGCAATGGGTTGGGATGGAGATAAGAGCAAGAAGTTGGACCCAAAAGAATTGATATTCCATACTTTATCTTGATGTTTAAGATCTTAATTGGTTTTTACTTCTTTACTTTTTTATTGGGGGGTAGGACGGTAGTGGTGGCTGGTGAGGGAATTTTGGCATCATCATCATCATAAAAATTGTACTCCGGGAAGTGGAGAAGTTGCAAATTCACTTACTGCTTGCTCAGAAGCACCGATGTATTTATTCAGCAGTTCAGGACCTTTGACTGAGATAAATCTTAGTGAGCATGCAGCAGCTGCAGCACCAACAAGGTGTGTTTTGCCACAACCAGGGGGGCCATATAACAGAACATTAGACCGCATCCTTAGAGGAGCTTGTGCAAATATATTTGGAAATTTGGACGGCAACTCAATCATCTGACAGAGGCAAAAACAGGAACTTCATATGCTGAACAAAATGATCCAAACTAAAGTTGCTATGAAATATAAAAACACACCTTTAAATAAGGTTCATGCAAACCCTAGAACATGGCTTCTGTTCAGCTCAATACTCAACACAACTTAATACATAATTCAAAGGGATTTACAACCAATTATCATTATTCACTATCAAAGGGTGTTCAATCCATCTTTGCTATGAGTAACAACAACAATAACATACCCAGTGTAATCCCACTAGTGAAGCCAGACCTTACCCCTATCTTTGCGGGATAGAGAGGCTACTTCCGATAGACCTTCGGCTCGAAAGAAAAGAAAATAATTTGAGCATGGTAGCAAGAAAATATGATAGTAAGATATAACGAAAATGAAGCAACAGAAAATAATACACATTGCAGAAAACTGAACTACGCGACTACTAAATGATACTACCTATAAGGAGGCTAGCCCCTTGCATCTCCCGCACAAAGTGCGAGAACACTTGACTACCTACTAAGCTTCTAGCCTAATCCTTAACCTCCACACCTTCCTATCTAGGGTCAAGTCCTTAATAAGTTAAAGTTGTGTCATGTCCTATCTAATCACCTATCCCCAGTTCTCAAGCTTACCTCTACCCCTCCTAACTCATGTTATAGTCAACCTCTCACACCTCCTTACTTACTGGCACATCCACGCACCTCCTCTTCACATGCATGAACCATCTTAGTCTCACTTCCCTCATCTTGTCCGCCAGTCGGACCAATCCCATTTTGCACTGTATAACTTCATTCCTAATCATATCTCTCCTAGTATGCCCACACAACCATTCAAGCATCCTCATCTCCGCTACATTCATCTTTAGAGCGTGAGTGTTCTTGACTAGCAAGCACTCTACCCATATTAATAATGTTGGTTTAACCACCACTATGTAGAATTTACCTTGAATCCTTGGTGACACGTTCTTATCGAACAAAGTTAGACAATAAAACAAGACAAAAAAAAAAAAAAAAAAAAAAGCCAAAAAAAAAAAAAAAAAAAAAAAAAAAACAAGCTCCCAAATCAAAAAAAGAAAGGAGTGCAAGCTAGACCTAGTCTAGAGTTTCTAGTATTCCACTCTCTGGCAAGCCAATCAATAGTTGATGTTTCTATCCCACTGCTTGATTACTAATTATTTCATTTTCAGTGAAGCTAACGCGCCGGTTGATAATCATTTAGGCAAATTATAACCATTCTACCATAGGAACAACAGTTATTAGTTGCTTACAAGTACAAAACATTGTTAATCATGAAGAACAGTCAAATTTATATGTTGACATCATTAAGTTTCTATTTTATTATTATTATTATTATTATTATTATTTTGATAAGGTAAAGCTAGGGGTGGCAAAATCAGATCAAACCCATTTGACCTGCCCAACCATCCCAAGTTATAATGGGTTGGGCATTGTAATTGAATGGAAGATCTTATCTCATTCCAGTAGGTGAACAGTGAATAAATACAATACATAAGGTGCTAACTAAGGAAAGAAATAAAGAGTGATTCCTACAGATCTGCAGTGATCCCTATAAATCTGCTGCCTATATATAGCTATGTATATTACTAAGATTAAGTCTATATACATTCTATAACACTCCCCCTCAAGCTGGAGCATATATGTTGATCATGCCCAGCTTGTTACAAAGATAATCAACTCGAGTTCCATTCAACGCCTTTGTGAGCAAATCAGCTACTTGCTCTCCTGTCTTCACGTAGCCCGTGGAAATCAAGTTTTCCTGAATCTTCTCACGAATAAAATGACAGTCAACCTCAATGTGTTTAGTTCTTTCATGATACACCGGATTTGAGGCAATATGCAAGGCAGCTTGATTATCACACCAAAGTTTTGCTGGTGTATGATATTCCAACCCAATTTCAGTTAGAAGATGATATATCCACATAATCTCACATGTAGACTGTGACATAGCTCTATACTCAGATTCTGCACTGGATCGAGATACAACACTTTGCTTCTTACTCCTCCATGACACTAGGTTTCCTCCAACAAAGACACAATAGCCTGTAGTCGATCTCCTATCAATTTTGGATCCAGCATAGTCAGCATCTGCAAAACACTCAACACGAGTATGACCGTGATTGCTATATAATATCCCAAGACCCGGGGCTCCTTTCAAGTAACATAAAATCTGTTCCAAAGCTGCCCAGTGTTTGACTGTAGGTGAGGACATGAACTGGCTAACAACACTTACTGCAAAAGCAATGTCTGGACGAGTCACAACAAGGTAGTTTAACTTTCCAACTAACCTCCTGTATCTCTCAGGATCATCAAAGGGGTCGCCGTCATCTTTCATAAGCTGCACATTGGGAACCATTGGAGTACTGCAAGGTTTAGCTGCCAACTTTCCAGTGTCTGCAAGAAGATCAAGAATATACTTTCTCTGAGACAAAAGAATTCCCTTCTTGTTTCTATTTACCTCTATACCCAAAAAGTACTTCAACTGACCCAAGTCTTTCGTATGAAACCTAGTATGCAGGAAGGATTTGAGGGAAGAGATCCCTGCATAATCACTTCCTGTGATGACAATGTCATCAACATACACAACCAGCAGGATAGTGCCAACTGTTGATTGTCGATAGAAGACTGAGTGATCACATTTGCTCATTTTCATCCCAAACTCCAGGACTACCTCACTAAACTTCCCAAACCAAGCTCGGGGACTCTGTTTCAAGCCATACAAGGACTTCTTCAAATAACAGACTC